CTGCATGTGTTCTGGTGTTGTCTTTTATCTAAGCTATCCTTCATGCCAGTCATCCTCAGAGGCTCTCCTTGCCTTCAGTGGACAGTGTTTTATCCCTGGCTTGAATACAGTGAGTTTTAACCAGGTGTGCTTTGGTCTGCTTATGAAATGAGACTTGACACCACTTCCACCAGAACTGAGGCCCTGCAGAATTCTCTGCTTGGGAGATATGGTATGAGCAGGGTTTTGTGCTAGTCTTCCTGAGGTAGGGGCCCACTGCACTGGGACTCTGAGGCAAGCTTAACTGAGAAGAGTAGTCCTGCCAGAGTGGGGCTTGGTATATGCAATTTAGGTAGCCAGTGTCTGTAGGTTGCTCTGTGTTTATGCTAAGGGACAGTGAGGGTGGGGAATGGCCAATCAGCTCCTTTGTTTCAGAGGTGTCTCTGTGAGTGCTATCTCTCAGAGACGTGCTCCAAGAAGAGCAAATAATGTCCCTGTTGTGTGCCCTAGGCATTCTTCAGATCACTGTTTCCACGCTGTATGCCCCTGGATTGTTTGCCTGCCTTCTCTCCAGGAGCAGCACAGTATCCTCTGGGCTCTATCCCAGTGAAGCCTGTTAACCCTTAAAACTTCAAACTTTATGCCCCACTGGTTGCAAGAACTCATGAAGTTCAGCCTCTCTCATTTTCCAAGCCAATGGCTTTGGGGAAATGTTCTCCTTGTGTTCCCCCCTTTGTGATTCTCTTTCTCTTGCCCTTCTCTGGGACTACAGCCCCCTCTCCTCTGCCACACTTGCAATTTGATCTGTCTCTTCCCTAAACCAAGTCTCTACACATCCTACCTTCTTCAGTGTGACTCTTCCCTCCCTTTAGCTGTGGAGTTTGTTCTTTCAGTCTTCAGGTCAATTTCTAGAGTAGTTAGGATGATTTGATAGTTATCTGGTTGTGCTCATGGGAATAGTCAAGCCTAGGGTCTTCCTACTCTGCCTCCATTTTCTTCTTCTCTGACATGTGGGGGTTTTGGACCATTTATCTGGATGGCATTGCTTTCTTCTACAGTTTATTGATCTGGCTCTAAGTTATTTCTAATTCCACCCTTTCCTCTGCATGTAAGGTTATAATAACAGCTGCATAGAAGAGCAAATGCTGAATGGTAGCACTATGATAATTCAGTCTCAGTTCCCCAGCCACACTGCCTCTCAAATTATCCTTCATGAGCCAACTTTTCTGCTCTACTGCACCTTCAGGGAAGAGGTGCCTAGTAAGAGGAAATCACAACATCATCTTGATTTTCCCTTTGTTCAAGTACCATGTGACAAAAGACTAGTAATCAGAGTAATATTTTTAAATATTAACAACCTACTCAACCATGTAAGGAAGAGATATACTGAATTATTAAAATATTCAGTCTTATATCAGTTTTGCATAATCTACACCTCAACAATTCCAAGAAGCTCCCAAAAAAGAACATTTTTGTAGTATGTTAGTATTTAAGGAAAGAAGTTTATAGTTTTTGTTACATTTATCAAATGGTTCTCTGACCAAAATAGGTTAAGAACCACTTAGTGAGGATAACTGTTTTTCAATTCTTAGCTATACAGAGAGAACATGTAAATCATGATGAACATAATTTTCTTTCTTTAATAATTCCAGAGATACCAGATTGTTATAATGCCTCAAAGTTCTTAAAATGAGTATCCGTAATGATTAAACAGTATTGTGAAATTTTTAAATTATTTGAGCTTTCTCAATTCATTCTATCAAAATGCAACTGTGTAAGCATAACCATTATTTAGATTTTGAATAAATAAATAAATAAAATGGAATTTTATGCAAGTGTCTCCTTTGTCACTAATTACTATATATGATACTCTAGAAAAATCAATTAACTTCTTCAAATTTCAATCTTCATAGTGGTAAAATGAGGGTATCCATGTAGTCTGTGCCTCTTTAGGCTCTGTTGGATATGGACACAGAGAAGTAGCTGAACGGGGGACCAGTGCTTTAAATGCTTTTAAATCATGGATTTTAGATCTGACCTGATTCAAACTCAGACACAATCTTGACTCTGATACAATAGCCTCCAAAATAGTCTCCTTCCTTCCAAGTTTCCTCCATCAGACTTATTTTTCCAAGCAGTAGTCTGAATGACATTTAAAAAAATGTAATTGAGGTCATGTCATTCTGTTCAAAGCTCTCCACTGGCTTCCCACCTCATTCCCAAAAGAAGCTGAAGTCATCATAATTGTTTGCAACTTTACCACTCAAAGTGAAGTCTACAGACTAGCAGCATCAGCTGAAACCAAACCCTATGGGAGAGCTACTAAATCAGAATCTACAGTCTACAGAGAGCCTCAGGTGACACAAATGTCATCAAAGTTTGAGAAACAACCTTGATGGCTTCTCCTTTTCCCCTTTCTATTTTCCCCTTGCTCGTCCTCTTTTTCCCCTTGCTACAGAGGCCTGGCCTTCCTACAGCTCAACCACATGCCAGACTCCCTCTTGCTGCAGGAACTTTACATTCGTCATTCAGTCAGCACAAAATCTCTCTTCCCCAGGTATCTGCAGGGGTTTCCCCTTCATCTCCTTCAGTCCTTCCCAAGTGTTGTCATCTTGGTGAGCCACCTCCTGACAACCCTACTTGAAACTGCAAACCTCCCTCCCCACAACATACTCCTTATGTGTCTTCAGGAAGTTACTTTTTTCTATAGCATTTAACATTATTTGGCATACTCTATCATTATTTATTTATGATTTCTCTCCTCCTCCTAAGATCCACGAGAGCAGAGATTTTTGTCTCTACTCTATCCCCATTACCTAAAACAATGGCCACTACATATTTGTTAAATTCATGAATCAGGTGAGCTTACATATATAAAGTTGGTTGGGGTTAGACCCTCAATAATTAATATCCATATTATGTTTTGTTGGACATCAAAGGTATTTCTCCTAGGCAGACAGGGTATAGTTGTCTTACAGAGATCAAAAATGACATTTTGGACAATTCATGCTGTGAAAAGTTGAAAAGAAGTTATTATAATAACCCTCAGCAGACAGAAAACTTAATAGGTAAAGAACTTGCATATATATTTATTTCATTTTTTTCCCACTGAAGTAGCCCCATTACATGGTGCAGTGCCAGGAAAATGGCAGTCACTAAATAATGAATGAACAAATATAACAAATATAACTTTAAACATATATAAAGATAGTATATAAGAATCTGTATTTGACTCTCTGGCATCCTTTGACAGCCCTAACCTGGCTACCTGTCTGGTCTTTTGATTTTCTTGTACCAGCATTTTATATTTATCATTAACTTGAAGTAACAAAACTACTAATCTGAAACCAACACCTTTAAGACAAACTATTGCTGGTATCTGGTTAAAACCAGGTGGCTTAATTATCTAAGGAGGACCGATAGCAAAACTTAATAATAATGACACAACTACTAGTTATATCAGGAAACTTTATAACTTACAGTTATAGCTGTGTCATCCTCACAGTTTTAGCTGTGTCATCTAATCTCTGCAATGCTATTATAAGCTAGGTATTATTTTTAATATCTATAATACCTATTTTTAGGATGCATCAACTGAGGCCTAGAAAGGTTAGGCAACATGCCCAGAGTCATACAGGAAAGCTACTGATCCACTGCAGAATGAGTTATATCAAGAGTCAAGGATTTATTTATCCTCTGCAACTACTTTCAGATTTTAGTTTTTTTAGTAATGGAATTCTTTTAACCCCCGGGCAAACTGTTGCATGAGGGCTCAGGGACTAGAACGGATAATAGTGGCACAGCTATTGATCAAGAAGGGATGAGGCAGAGTGAAGACCCATTGCCTTAGCCTTCTCCTTTGCTCCTCCTTATCCATTGGCTCTGTCTAGAACCTTTGCAGAACCTCAGTGATCTAAGGAAAACCTTTGCCCTGTGGAAAGGAGGTTGGACAAGCATCCAAACAGCAGATAGAAGTTCTAAAATCTCTCTCCAAGTAAAAATAAAGGGGCCAGGGGAACCATCCTAATAGGTAGTAAAAATCCCACACAGGATTCTGTGTACTACTTTTATAGACTGATCACAAAGGTAAAAATCTGACTATATAAGTAACTTGGGACTCCAAGAAGAAGTTTGGACTATATCATACCTAAGTCTCTTCAAATCTAAAATGTCATGATATAATGATCTAGAGTGGGTAATAATCAAAGTATGATTTGATATATAACTTTTATAATTATCCTGCTTCAAAGCCTCGAGGTAGTCATTTCTCTAAGTTGGCACAGGTAACTGGACAAGGAAGGCAACATGGATATGCGTGAATAAGTCAGAATACCTGTTTCCAGTTCTATCATTATAAGGCACCTAACCTTGAGAAAGTCAGATCTTTAAATAAAAAGTATGCTCTTCTACCTCACAGGTAAAGGTAAGACGATATAATAATGATGATAATCTTCGGAACTACCGAAGTTGTACGCAAATGCTAACAAAAGTATTAGCTAAAGTACCAAAAGTAGACTTTAGGGTTAAAGAATACACATATCCTACTTCTATTGAGAAAATGCTATGAGATGATATTTGGACACTAAATAGTTATTTGAATTGATAATACATCCTTAAGTCAATGATCTGCCAGTCAAGTTATCCAGCACATTGTCAGCGGCATTCATTCATTACCTATTTGACAGCCATTTGACATTTACCACAATATGCTAATTTCTTACTTATTTTACCACCACAGATAAATTATTTGAATGAAGACATCTAATGAAAATGTCCCTTTAGTTTTTGCTAACACCAATCGACAGTAGTCTATCAAAACAAGTTTTTATAGATTACTGAATTATAAATAAAAGTGTAAATATGCTGTAATTTTGCCCAAAGAAGATATAGCAAAAATGAGATATAATGATTACACTTTAAGCTGTGTGTCATTTCCTTAACTTTAAATAATTAATTGCAATTATAAAAAGGGAGGAATACAATTGGTAAAAGCAAGAAAAAGATAATTGCTTTAGACTTACTGCTGCATGAAGAACTGAGGCAGTGCGATAAGCAATGTTCCAACTCCCATGATTAGACACCCTGTTCCGATTATTTTTGGTCTGTGAAGTTTGGCTCCAAAGTAGCTTACGAATGTTATAACTAAGAGATTCCCTTGGGGCAAAGAATAAAATGTTTATCAGTTAGATAACTTAGAAAAAGTCATCAGCATAACTAAATGAATATAACTAAGTGAATGAATGTCCTTAGCAGGTCTGGCAATGTTTTGTTTTAACTAAACGGTCTCCCCACCCTCTTTCCCATCCTTTGTCTTTCTTGGCTTTAATCTAAGATGACTGTTGAAATTGCCTGCATACTCATTACTTCAATTAGCTCATCCATTTAGCAAAATACTTTAATTATGAATACTACTACCTCAATTTTATCCACCCTAATTATTTGTCCTTTTTAAAGTGTTTTATCAGTAAATCAAATAGTAGAAGGGTTCCTTTATTGCTCTCTTAAGTTTTCCTTAGTGATTTTGAAGTGAACTTTATTACTATTTCTTCATTCATTTTCTATTAAAGCTTTTATCAGTTTCCCATTTGCTCTTGAAACATACATTACATATTCTTATTTTAGCAGATATTCCTCATAGAAAAAGTAAAACAAACACAACTATACCTCACTTTGTTAAATCAAATTATGAAATTCATGTTAATTCTAAGATACTTTACAATTTGCTATGTGCTTTTTACAAAAAGACTCAAAACAGAGGTAAAAATTACTTCATATAAGCAAACTTCAGGAATATACCAGTTATATAATCTCAATGTTTACTTATAATCCAAATTTTATGAAATACAAAATTTCCATAAAATGTACCCATCTTTTTAAAAAAATAATTGACAAAATTTTTTTGAAGGTGGAAATTATGCTTTCATAAAGTTTCTAGAGAAGCATGGAATAAATTAGTTTTAGTTGATGATGGTGATGAGTTATTAATATGCTTTAGGGAAAATATTTTGCTGTATAGAAAAATACTACAAGGAGGTGGTAAGGGAAACAGAAACCTTAAAAATGTAAAATCTTGGAAGCTTCCAACAGTTTCTTATTTCATGGATCTAGGGGTAGGCCAAGAAATCTGCATTTTAATATCGCTCAAATGTGCTGATGGAGATGGTTCCAGGAACATGCTTTGATAAACACTGTTTAGGATCTTAGATTTCAAAGGGCTTTTAAAGTTTCAGCTCTTTGCACTTGGAATAGTTTTTTAAAAACTGCAGTGCTAGATAGAGTAATAACTTAGCAACTCCCCAGCAATTGATTGTGATGGCTGATGGGTAGTGTTGCTTTGAAGCTCTGCCTTCAATGTTTCCAATTTTCTAGCAAGAATATGTTTGCTTACATCTGTAAGCAATCATCTAATTTACTACTGTTTGTTCACATTGCCAGCTTCAGTCAAGTGCAAAAAGAGCAGCAATTTTTATAGCCTTGAGGACAATAATGACAGTGAAAAAATTAGCATGCACAGTGGCTCTAAGTTTTATGGCTCCAGAAAGAATTAAGCTTCTTTTTTCATAGGAAAAAAAAAACAAAAAACAAAACCCTTGAATATGAGATTTCTCATTTGATATTTAAGCATTTAGTAGAAGTAATTTTGTGTCATATTCCAGTGATAATTATGTCTATACTTTTGTTAATGTGTCACAGTTAATAAACTAAAGTACAGTGAAAGCTGACCTTTAGTTTATAGATAACGTATCACTGCAACCAATTATCACCTACCCTCCCCACCTCCCACAACATCAAAACCTCACAATAAAGGACTTATGTTTCAGGCTGTTTCTGTGTTACATTAGTGGGTATGCCAAAGACCACATAATACAAAAAAAAAAAAAAAAAAAAAAAAAAAAAAGACCACATAATACCACTTCAGTGTCTGTGATATCTACAGAGTTTTTGCTTTCTTTACTTAGTATCTCTTCTGAGTTCTCAGAAGATACACATAGGAAATTAATGGTGATGAGCTTTAAAAAATTAAATTGGATATCAAAAATCACTTCTATTATCACTAGCCTCTGGAAAAGATAATACAACCACAGTGCTTTAAAACTGTTTTACCAAACTTTTAAGTAACCGATTCTCCCCCCTTCTTTCTTCCTCTCTCTCTCCCTCTCTCTCCACACACATAATTTAGATAACAGAAAAGAAAGCCACCCAACTCATCTCCTATGACTTATATACCTTGAAAACAAAAACTAGAGAAGGACAATGAAAGAAAAGACCAAATGCAATTTGTTCCAAAAGTGCAAGGGTATCACCAAATAAGAGGAAAAAAATTTAACTTAATCATTGTCTTAAATGATAAAAGGAGAAAAAAATCCATGGTTATCTTAATAGATGTAGTAAAAGCATCCAATATAATTAACCACCCACTTGTGAGAAGAAAAATATTTAAGCAAATTAACTTTTTTTTTTAGTTTTTCTTATTATGTTCAGCTAGCCAATTAACATTTAAGCATATCTACCAAACTATAGAGCACACATATTACTTAATTGTGAAATTGTAAAAGCATTTTCATTAAGGTCAGATATGAGAAAAGAACACCCATTGTCACCGCTTCTATTTAACACAGTACTGAGGCCAATGCAATATAGCAAGAACAAGAAATAACAGATCTAGAATTGGAAAGAATAATATAAAACTGACTTCTGTTTCAGACAATATGATTGTCTATTCAGAAAACTCTATAGCATCTAAAAGAAAAAGAAAACTCTACAGCATATATAATCAATTAAAATTGATAATCAATTAAAATTAACATACATTTATACTAACATATAGAAAATCCTAGAGACTGCACAAAAAAACTACTAGAATTAATAAACAAATTAAGTAAAGTGGCAGGATACAAAATTAATATCCAGAAATCAGTTTTTCTATATACCCAAAATTGATTAGAGACCTATATGGGAGATCTGAAACCAAAGAAGTCCTAGAAGAGAACACAGGTAATAATTTCTTTGACATTGGCTGTAGCAAGATTTTTCTAGCTATGTCTCCTCACACAAGGAAAACAAAAGCTAAAAAAACTATTGGGACTATATCAAAATAAAAAGCTTTTGCACAGGAAAGGAAACTATTAATGAAACAAAAAGAAAACCTGCTGACTGGGAGAAAGTATTTGCAAATGATATTACCTGATAAGGGCTAATATCTAAAATATATAGGAACTTTTATAATTCAACACCAAAACAAACAATCTGATTTAAAAATGGTGCATAAACAATGAATGCTGGCACACTGAAAAGAAATAAAATAAAATAAAATGGAAAAAAAAATAATAAAACTGGGCAGAGGACCTGAATAGACATTTTCCAAAGAAGACATACAAATGGCCAACAGACACATGAAAACATGCTCAAATCACTAATCAGGGAATTGCAAATCAAAACCACAATGAGATATCACCTTATCCCGGTTAGAATGGCAAAAATCAAAGTGGCAAAAAATAACAAATGTTGCAAGGATGTGGAGGAAAAGAAACTATTGGTGAGAAGGAAAACTGGTACAGCACTGGTAGAAAACAGTATGGATGTTCCTCAAAAAATTAAAAATTGAAATACTATATGATCCAATAATTTCATTATTGGGTATTTACCAAAAGAAATTGAAAACAGTAATTCAAAAAGATATATGTACCTCTATGTTTATTGCAGCACTATTTATAATAGCCAAGATATTATATGGAAGCAACCCAAATATAACCCAAATATAAATACAACCCAAATATAAATCCAAATGTCCATTCTTAAATGAAGAATTCTTCTTTATCCAAAGAAGAGAAGGTGTATACACATGTACATGGGCACACATGTGCCTGCGTGTGCGTGCACGTGCACACGCGCACACACACACACACACACACACACACACACAGAAATATTATGCTGCCATAAAAAGGGATGAGATCATGCCATTTGTGACAACATGGATAAATCTATCAGTGAAATAAGCTAGACTAAGAAAGACAAATATCATATGATTCCACTTAAGAAAAGAAATGAATAAACAAAAACCAGATTCAGATTCAGACCTTTAAATACAGAGAACAAATTGAAGGTTGCCATTGGGTTGGGATGGTTGGGCAAAGAGAGTGAAGGAGAGAGGGAGATACAGGCTTCCAAGTTATGGAATGAATAAGTCATAGGAATAAAAGGCACAGCATAAGGAATAGTTAATGATACTATAATAGTGATGTGATGGAATAGATGGTAACTACACTTGTGGTTAACATAGCATAATCATAAACTTGTCAAATCACTAAGTTAAACATCTGAAACTAATGTAACATTTTGTGTCAACTATACTTAAGTTAAAAAATATTAACATAAGTTTAGCAAGGTTTTTGCATACAGATAACATTAGATATTAACATGGTTACAATATTCCTGGAATTACTAAATAGGAATTGTAACAAAAATCTATTACTATAAAAGCAATGATTAAAAGGAAACTCATTGCACTGAATGCATATATTTGGAAATAGTAAAAATCTAAAGTCAGTTTTCTAAGTTTCTACCTAGGAAACTAGAAAGAGCCAATTAAATCTAAAGTAGGTAGAAGAAAAGACATAATAAAATTAGAGCAGAAATAAATGAAATTGAAAACAGAAACTCAGAAGAGAAAATTAGCAAAACCAAAAGGTGATTCTTTGAAAAGATAAATGAAATCAATAAGCCTCTAGTCATGCTCACCAAGAAAAAGAGAGAGAGAGAGAAGATACTAATACTAATACCAGAAATGAAAGGGGAGACATCACTATAAATTTTATGGACATTAAAAGAATAATAAAGGAGTATTATGAATAACTCTATACTTACAAATACTATAATCTAAATAAAATGGACCAACTACTTAAAAGACACAATCTGCCAAATATCCCTAAGAATTAACAGGCAATATGAACACGTCTGTATCTATTATAGAAATTGAACCAATAATCTTTTTTTTTAATCTTTTTTTAAAATTTATTTTCAGCATAACAGTATTCATTGTTTTTGTACCACACCCAGTGCTCCATGCAGTCCGTGCCCTCTCCAATACCCACCACCTGGTTCCCCCAACCTCCCACCCCCCCACCTCTTCAAACCCTTCAGATTGTTTTTCA